GTAATGGTCTCATTATTCTCTCTCCCATTTAGGAGGGTGGCGGCTGCTGCACACTGTATGGAGGTCTTTGTCAAGTGTCTCTAAATGAGCTTTGTCCTGGGAGATTACAATTAATTTAAAATCTAAATGACTCCTTCCATTGGGCAATTATGCTGTTTGTGTGCCCCAGCCCTGCCTGCGCTCTGCCTCATGTGGCCTGCTCACACTGGCTCCAGGGGAACACCACTAACAAAAAACAAAAAAACCCAGCAAATCTTATCTACGTTACACCTCTTCCCAACATTTACCAGAGCTATACTCTTAAGTAAGAGACACTGGAAGAGGAGTCATGTCTTTCGCACAGTGGTAATTTTAGAGTTTCATCAAGCATTAAGAAAGCAATGACCATTTTGCTCAGAAAACATATTACATGCAACATCTACCTGGCAACGTATGCTCTAAATCAGAGAATTTAGTTTTCAGAATAAAGTACCATTCTGAAAATAATTTTAAACTTGAGGCACGCTAGAAAGAACAACAGTTGTGTAAGAATTAGGAAAACACTTAAATTGCCAATATGTGGTTGAAAGCCTCTATAACCTCATAACCAACTAGATCTGGATCAGATCAAAAATCCATCCACTCTTCATACCGCATCTCAAATAAGAAGCATAAAATACCAATTCTGAACATGCAAGGAAACTTTTAGACAGACACTGAATAAGGTAAGACTTCTTAACCCCATCTGCTGATGACAGTCATACAGCCTGAAGCATGACAATTTATTGCATTTAAAAAAGATTCAGCTTTAGGGATAATATATATATGAACAGATGTAAGGTTTTGGCTTCAAATTTATAAGAAGTTTTAAGGAGTTAAACAAGCTATATTGTCTCATCAGGAGTTTGACCACACAGAAGAGACTGCTTGGCTCTGCCTTTCTTATTAAAATGTTGTTTGCAATGGACACTGTTCAAGGCTTCCAGCTGTCACTTAGCAAGAGCACTCAATTTATAGCCAGCAACCACTCGAAGGAGCACCCCAAGCACATCTCAGGGATATTTAGTTGCTCTTCTAGCTGAAGTTTTGCAATTCTTACAAATATGCTATTTACTAGAAGTAAGCTTCCCAGACAGCCGGAAGAAGCTCCAGAAAAGCCAGACTCCATTACCACTGAAGTAAGTTGTACTAGCAGCATCCGCTCAAGTACTGCTTCGGTTAATCATACCATGTTGCTAACATGGCATAAAGGGGCACTGCAGTAAAGCCAGTTACTATACCTGTTAAAGCAAGGATCATGCTGAAAAGCAGCCATGATTCAAGGTCAGCTATGAAAAACTGATGTTTTCAGCCAGTAAAATGGTGCCTTAGATTTTTGGTAGGAAAGGAGAATGCAACTTATTACTAATGGTGTGTTTAAATTACCACCTATCCTCAAAGCTGCCAGAATACAAAAGAGCTCAGTGTGCTAGAAATAACAGCAATGCAGGTGTGGGAGTGTAAAAGTTTAAGCTTTACCCACAAACTCCACCTAGCCTTGATGTTTGCTCTATGTTTCTTAGAGCTATCATGTAGTGTCCTCTTATCCACTTCCATACATGCAGCAAGGAATGGATAAAAAAGGAATATCTTGGTCTCGATTTCTTGACAGGAAGTCATGCAGGTAACCTGACAGGTACCAGGCAGCTCAACAATGACTGCAGATATACAAATGAACCAATGGGCCAAACAGCAACTCCAAAGAGGAGGCTGCAGTCACAAACACTGAATAACCGAGATCCACGTTCATGCAGAGTCGAAGCATATGCACTGGAAAAGAGCTTTAAAAACCAGGAAGGCAAGGGAATAGAAACAAGGCAGGCACCAAGGCTCTGAATGAAGATACTCACATTTCTTTTCTGTGAATTGATGAAGCAAGCAGGATTTTCCTACACCCATGTCCCCTGTTACAGAAAACACAGTTACTGTGCTGGTAAGTGGTTTCAGAAGCTACATTTTCTTCAATTTAAGAACACTTAAAATTTGCCAGACAAGTGGTTTGTTCAGCCCTGCTATGCTATTCCCAGACAACAGGCAATGTTCCACCCCATTAGTGTCCTTCAAGCATCAGTGTTTTCCCTACTACTTCATTCACAGGCAAGAAAGAATACAACCAAAAAAAATAAAAGTTTCACACAGGATTACTGTTACTACTAAAACTTTAAGAGCCAAGCCTTCAAGGAGGACACCAACTTCAGCACCCCAATAAACCACAAAGCCCCATACATCCAGTACAGGGGACACAGGACTACTGCAAAAAAACAAAACAAAACAAAAACAAAACAACCCTTGAGATTTGAGTGCTTAGGGCAAAGCTCAAGTGTCCTGACCCAGCACATGCCACACCTCCCTCTACCAGCTGCTCCCACTGGCTATGCACCCTATCCCTACAACTGTTCTGCTCATATAATTACCTGAAGGCCATGTCTGCTGGACCCAAAATGCCCGAACTTCAAACGCTGGCACAAACCCAAGAATCAATATTCCCATACACCCACCACTCAGCCCCTGTGCTGCTTTTGCAGCACCCAGGGAGCAAGAGGGAAGTATTCCCCTAACAGTGGTGCTGCTGTGGCACTCTTGCATGTACTTTTGCAGGCCTTTGTTTGCACTGCTGGATGCCTTTTTGCCTGCTCAACGGTGGGAGAAATTTGTTTTAATGGTACAATGCTTGAAACAGCAAAGAATTAAAAGGCATATTGGAAGTTTAATCCATCTGCACCCACCTTCTACTCAAAAACTGTAAGCTGTGTAGTGTACCAGTACCTGGGTGTGACATGTATTATAGCAACACTGAAGCACAAGTGCCTTTTACTAGGAAGCTATTAAAAACCCTTTCTCCAATTTCCACACACACTTCCAGTCCCGCTAACAGAGTCCAACAGGTCAGTGAAACAAGCAGTACAAAACATTTGTTATAGTAGCACCATCTCCATACTCCAAGCATTCTTTGGAGCAGGGGCAGGCAACGTTTTTTTGGCCAGAGTGTCAAAAAAAAACCATGTCTACCTTGGAAGGCACCGGACTGCCGACACGCTGGAGCCCGGAGCAGCTGGGGCCCACAGAGCCTAGTCTGCTTGCAGCCCCCTAGCTGCCTGCTGTGAGCAGCCTGGACTCCATGGCTAGCAGCAGCTGCTTAGAGCCCCAGGCTGACGGTGGTATGTTGAGCAAAATGGCTTTGCGTGCCATGCTTGGCATGTGTGCCAGGGGTTGTTGACCCCTGTTCTGGAGGTTTCTATTGCACAGATTCAGAAATTAGTTTTTAAAAGTGTAACTGTCTGTTACAAATTTGAAGACTTGTTCTTACAAAGGCTTGCCATTTTACAGAGGTGGGTTCTTTTTAAGTGTAGTATGCAAAGTCATCCCTGGCCACCCAGGTAAAGTCTGCACTGATTTCCTATCAAACCTACACAGAGGTCAAGCTAGAGCCAAGGACGGTGGCCTAGATGCTCAATTCTCATCTAAAGAGAGTTTGGTAGAGGGAAAGGTGTACCTCCTGCCCTGCCCATAGGCTGACAGTCTGCAATACCAAGTTACAGCAACCCCAGACATTGCTCTGACTTCAAGTCTAGGTGACTCTGTTGAAGATGCCAGGAGGAAGCAGGAAGCTGAGACAAGCCTGGCTCCTCTCAGGCTCTCTTCGCTGAACTGGGGTTAAAAAGGCAGTCAAAAAGAGCTAATGACCTGACATATTGCAACAAAATGTAACAAAGAGAAACAACCTCACCCTGCTCAGAGAATGGGTATCTGCACTCTTAGTTCAAAAGCACATGCATGGTCGGTCCTCTCCAAAAGCACCTCTCAGTACTCAGTTAGCTTAAGTGCAAAAACCATGTTGGTTTGCTGCTCTTTTTCAGAGAGCAACTAGCATGCCCAAAGAGTAGCTAAAGGATTCAACTGTGACCATCTGCTTTGTTTTCACAGTTGTGGTATATTCTTTGGAGAGTGAATATTTCTGCAAGCCTATTTGTTTTCCCATATCCAAAGAAGGTTAACTATGCTATGTTTAACAAGCAGCAGAAAACCAAGTCTACAAAGATGCAAGTGCTTGGAAACGAAGTCAGAATTTTGGAGGATAAATCAAATGCAATTTAAACTACTCAAGGGAAGTAACGCTCAGAAGGCAAAAAGGTAGGCATATTTCAGTAAATAATTCATGTTTACCACAGTAAAAGTATTCACCAATGGATTTTTGTGGAGCTGGAAAGATAAGGAAGGACAAGACTGCATTTCTTTTCATGCTGAGATGTACAAAGTGAGCTTTGTATATGAATACATATTTAACTGAAAGTTATCAAGGCCACAGGTACTGACCAGTAGTTTAAATATACTTAAAGTGTCTACAGGCAAGCTTCCATGTAAGTTTGGGCTTTTTCTGTTTTTTGGGTTGGGGGCAGTATTTTTTTTTGTGATCACAAGCATCTTGCAAGTCTATACTTACCAATAATGATGTACTTAAAGATGTAGGAGTAGTTGTAAGGTGCAGTTGCCATTGTGGCACTGAAAAAAGCAAAAACAAAAAGAATATTAGCAATGAGAACTAGTTACTAAGTAAGGTCTTAGATTAATTCCTTCCCTTCAAAGGATTTCGAACAAGTATACGTTCTCCTACAGCTGCCCTTTCATTCACAACTGAGAACTTCTCTTGCATTTCCATGCAATCAACAGCTCGAGTTCTGCAGAAGTGCTAACTACTTAGACACCAGCAGCAACTTCTGGCACTTGTTTGTACACTTACAGATGTTCACAGTTTGAACAGGAGAAAGTAAGAGTGAAATGTCCTTTTTTTTTTTCATTAAAAAACAAAAACCTCCTAAAAGTCATTAACTCTTATTTTTTTGGTATCTAAAGCAAGTATTTTCTAGAGAAAAATTATTACCACATGCTATTAAGCCATAAGTATACCAACTGTTTGGTTATGACAGTTTAGTCCATTTTTGAAGTGGTTTCACACACAGCAACAGATTCACAGAGTCTGGTTTTTAAGTCACCTAGATCACTCAAGTTCTCCAGAGGAAAGATACTTCACATCTTGTCCGTTAAGCGAGAAGTCTAGACTAATCTTAAGTGCCCAAGCGTTTGAGACCAGAGCCATAAGTCAGATGTTCAGGAAATTGGTCAACATTCCTGTGGCTTTAATCAGCATGGTAGAGTTGTTTGGTAGAGCTCTGGTTTGCAGCAGCAAGATAAAGTTCCATCATTAGATGTTACAAATTAGCTCTGGCCCCTGTAAAATCACAAGTTTCAGAGAGAGCCCAACAGTCAAATCAAGACTTCTCCTCTGGTGCTAAAAACTAGTGATGGGACTTTCTTTCCTCCTCCCAAGACGCACAAGGTGATGTGAAAAGACAAAACCTCTCTTGCTGCTGTCAAATAGGAAGTGAAGTATGGATTTCATAACAAACTGCCTCTTCAAACAAGGATACAACACTAGTGGTTAAAGCAGCGACCAGTGTTCAACTTCTTGTACAAATAGCTGAAGACCTTCAAAACTTACAGTACCAGCTGTTGAATGTGCATCAATATAAAACCAAAATATTTACAAATACAGCTTGCATTCAGGGCAGATGAATGTTTGCAGCCCAAGTACAATAAGGGAATTCCACGTCAACAGTTTTGTCAAAGTGAACGTACCCAGATTTGAACAGTGTCCCAGCCCAGTTTTATAACATACTGGAAAGCTACTGAAGCATGTCCCAGTGACAGCGTTCCAACCTCTCAGTACCATTCAGAACATCTTTTCTCCCATTCTAACTACACAGAAATTAAAACTTGACAACCGCCTGATTTTGTGGCAGGACTGTCAATGAAGAATCATACTACAGTTCACTAAATAGGGCAGGGGGTCAGACTCAATGATCTACTAAAGTCCCTTCCAACCCTAAGCATCTATGAAATAGGAGCGACTAACACGCTAGAATAGGCAGGTTATTCTGTTGCTTTATGCTATCACATGCTTTATGATATTAAAGTTTTAAATCAATTACCTGACCTCTGCACCCAAAGCAATTCCATACTATGAATTAGGCAAGTGTTTTAGGTGGTGTGATGGCAAAGGATGAGACTGAGACTTGATTTCCCGTCTAGTCTGAAACACTCAATTTCCCTTCAGAATGAGTACTAATTAAATAAAAACTGAACTTTCAAAAGAGACTCGCATAAAGTCCCAATTCCAGCATTAGTTGCAAGAAAAATTCAGCCTATTTGTTTTTGACCCTCACAGCTGTGGAAAACAGCTAATGGCTCAGAAGAATCCACATCATGAGATTGAAAAATTGTGAACAGCTCAGCTGGCGACTGTGAAGTAGGAGACCTGCCCACCCCTATGTAACGGGCATCCTGCAAAGACAGCTCCTTAATGTTTAAGGGCCCCAAAGAGTGGCCTCCCCCCTACCTTTCATCATACTTGGACTATATTAAGAAAACCTTCAGAGACCTGACACAAGTAAAGAGACTAGAAAAATTTGATGATATGCATGGACATGATTATTACGCTACATACCATGTCTTATTAACTAGAGGAACACTTTAAAATTTGGTTGCAAGTGCAAAAAAAAAAGTTTCCCTTACCTTTATTAATTTTCTATTAATGACGACTCCCACAACTCACTGTTTTTTCCTGCAAATTTCTCCCACCCTGAATGAAGTTATCTACCATCATTTACAGGTCACTTTGGTTTCAGATTCAGTGCTGCAATTCTGGGATTACCAACATGGCTAGAAAATGTTAAAATCAGAAAGCAAACAAAAATATAAGAAAAGTAGGGAGATCTCTCTATCTATGTGGCTACGTACTTGTCTTATATTTTTGTTTTCACAAGAAACTCAGTATGGAACTAAATTCATTACGTTTTAAGTGCAAGTTAGCTAGATGAGAATGAAAAGAAAGATCAAGCTGTCATTACAGTTAGACTACTATGCTATAAGCCTGTCCCCTTCCAGTTCTTGTTATTAGTCCAAGAGGATGACCAAAAACTTATGGGGTACATTTCTGTAATAATAAAGTCACCATCACCTCCACCACCACACGACAAGGCAGGAAGTACTGGTACTGTACTTAGTCTAAAGTGCGATTCATAAATGCCTAAATACCTATTAACCCAGTATGCTACAGTAACTGCCTGACAACTATGCAGTCTCTACGAATTTGAGCACAGTACACTAAATATATGCAATTTAGCTTCTTGAGATAAAGGGTGCCACAGAGAACGTACAAAGCAATTTTTGTATTAGACCCAACACCTTAAGTGAGGGTCAAATCTAAAGAGATGTTCTTGCTATTTTAAGTAAGGAACATAAAATTATTCTAACTGAAGAACTAAATTTTATGTGACTAGATGTGGTGATGCTGACTTGTTGTACACATCTCGCATCTCCTATTTATGTAGCTCTCAAAGTGGTAAGCGACTAAAATTGGCAAAGGTACTCAGGCCGACGAAATACCCAAGACATTAAGATTTAGTTAGGAGCTCATAAATTAGATGCAAGCAACACAACCTGTTGAAGCTGGTCTTACACTAGCTTTTGCTTTAAAAAGACTACATTTTAATGCATTTACAGTTTAGAACAGTGACTCTCAACTAGGGTGCCACAAAATCTTTTTAAGGCTGCTGCACAAGATCTTCACTGTTGGTGTGCAAACACATACACAGGATTCACAAGATAAACCCACATTTAAAATAGGAATCCATAGTATCAAAAGCATTCTGTTGTAGAGCCATTGTGATCTTTCTGCAATTTGTCTCAAGAAAATTGCTCAATAATTTTCCCATAGTCAAAAAGCAAGCGACAGCTAAGAGCTGGTATTTTGAGGGGTGCCTATAGTCTAAAGAGGTTGAAAACCACTGGTTTAGTACTTTTAAAATATGCAATTCCAACTTGTCATTATTAGTCCTCTCAATGCAAGTGTAAAGTCTGAGGCTGGCAACTTGGGTCACACAATGATTCCACTACTACTTTTGCCCTTCCTCTATGGACACAGATTTTACTAGCTCAGATGTTATAGGTAGAGCCACATCTTTTCTATACCAGGCATTAGGACAGGCTGCCATGTGCTACCACACTTAATTCTGGGGTATGCCAGGAGTGGCCAACCTGTGGCACATGTGCCAAAAGCAACAGAAGCAGCCTGTGGCATGCAGATCAGGGAGGGGCAGCGGCAGAAAACAGGACAGGTGGCTGAAAACAGAGCAGCAAATTGGGCAGGAGGCAGAGTAGCTGATCAGGCAGGGGAAGGGGATTGGAGTGGCCCTCAGGGAAGATATGGAGCTAATCTGTAGTATGCCTGCCAAAAAAGGTTGGCCACCACTGGTCTAAGCAAAGCCTCAGGCATCTACCTTCACGATTTTGGGGAATATTTTGGGCACTTTGAAGATTTCTCCAATCAAATTATTCTTCTATCTGAATGTAGTTTTGAGTGAGACAGTGTAGACTGTTACCCAGAGATATAGCATTAACCTTTGCAACCGGCCAGAGAAGTTTGCTTTACCTTTTGACGGTCTTCTCTGAATCCCTGGTAGGGAAGCTGGCATTTCTTTATCCCACCATAGGTAGTTTTGTCCAATGGGCTCCTACATGCATCAGGATGGGGCTAGGTGTAGCTGGTCCTGCCTTGGTACAGAAGGACGGACTAGATCTCTAAAAGCCTAGACCCCTAGCCAGAAGTCATTACAGTTCCTAGGTCCTCTTCTCTTTCTGCTATGTTCAGTGAGATGCAGTGACTAGACAGGGTCCTATTAAAGATTCAAATACATTGGCATTTTTCTGTAATGGAAAAAAAAAAGTTGGTCCCCCACCACACCGTTTTTCTCCCCTTTATCTCTCTCTTTTTTTGACCTCCTCTGTGCATGGCAATATATGGTTCATTTCCAGAGCAATTAGCTTAGAACATCAACATATGATTACACCAGAAAGAGCAGTGCTAACTAAAATACCTGCACTATTTATTCTGAAGCCATATTAAAATAATCTCTTTTTATGAAGGTACAAATCCTTCATTTTTATCCACCCTCCAAAAAGACCCAGATGTTAATACTGCCCAACTTACATATTCCTAGTTCTTTAGCAATTTAAGACAATGAAATGGGAAGGAAGCAAAATGGATTTTCTATATTGGTTAAAGAAAGTTTTTTAAAAATGTGAGTTTGATACTGCAGAGCCAGTCTTCAAATTTTTCTAAATACTCAGGGGTTAGGAGAATACAGGGCCTTGTGAACATCTTTGTAACATAGATATAATGCTCAAAATTTAAGCAATAAGTTATAATATTAAAGCAATTTTGTTATGAACAAACTTGTTTTGTGGAACGAGAAAAGAAAAATCTTCCCTAATGGTTCAAATTAGATAAAGTTTGCTTACAAATAAGTATGAGCTGGGTAACCTTTATTTTGGTGAAACATCTACTTACACATTCAGTGGATCAGGACACTAGCTTTCAATGTTTCACTAGAGTAATTAAATACTCTAACCATAGAAGTATTTAAAACAAATCAACTTAACAGCTTAAAAAAGTTTACAGGTACACAAACTGTCAAACTTAACCATGATTTTATATCCGTTTTGAGTGCAAGCGATTAAATTTACTTCACCTATTAGCCAACATTATTTTAGTTTCTTAATTTGGTAATGTTGTTGTTTGTTTGTTTTACATCAACATTTCTACTGCTTTAGTATCCAAAAAAGCCTTAAATCGGGTCATGATTTCACTGCAGAGATGTGGAAGGATGGGTACTGCTTCCAATTGCTCAAATTAAAGACATACCAGGTAAACTAGAGGATATGTGGGAAAAGGCAGACAGAAGTGCGTGTGTGTGTGTGGGGGGGGGATACTTTACACACTAATGAGTAAGCTGACAAATTTGCTGGAGCAGACATCTCACAACTCTACATACAATAGAACAGGTCAAGCTAAAATACAGATCTCTTGTGCTTAGCGTAAATAGTGATAACTTCATACCAATTGCCTACCTATTGCCACACTGTTTACCCATGCCCACACCCACTACCTTGCAATAAGATCTGGGAACACAGCTTCTACATACCTATTCAGGGTTTTCAGTCCAGCTATAATTCTGTCCTCAACCTTAGTTCTTTGGAGAACACTGGACTCAGAAACCCTATGTGAACACAACTCAGCATAATCCAATACTTGCTTCTTCCTGAAAGCAGAATTGGAGGACTGTCTACCACTTCATGTATCTGTTGTCAATATGCAAGCAGAGGAACACAAGAACAGGGAAATAAGCAACTGCAACCCTTGCTCACCTAGCTGGCATCCTTATTCAGTTTTAACTGGCAAACTCCTCCTGGGCTCTAGCTCTAAATTTAAGTTGTATTGTGCATATCCCCTCCCTTTGACACAGCAGCTATGTTACAAATTAGCCTGCAGCATGGTGGCAGACAGAAATCCTCTCATTTCCAGCCTAGGTAGAATTACAACCAATTTTTAGCATTTGTTCTTGTATGAGCATTGCCTTTCACCTGCCCTGAAGGGCTACGCATGATGCACCCCTGCCCCAGACATCTTATTAAGGCTTAAAAACTTGTTCCAGAGAACACCTAGTGCCTCTAGCAGTCTTCAAATTGATAGGTCCTACTCTGTTTCACACGTAACACAGTACCATTAGGTCACAGAGTGGACAATGGAACTAAAAGTGATATGCAGTTAAAATAGTTTATGCTCTTAAACGATGCAAATGGAATATCTATCAACCCAGGACCAGCAAAATGTTATGCAGTTATCCAATAGACACACAAACGGAGTATACTGTACACTTCAGCCCTCATGACCATCCACTTCCTGTGGAATTTCTCCCTACCCCGTTCTGTATTAAATAATGCCTCCCAACTTTGAGTTATCAGCCAACTCAGTCAGTACAGTCCTGTGGTGTGCATTAAGGTCACTAATGAAGTTATTAAACAAGATCAATCCCAACCATCAATCTTGGAAGAACATCATTAGTAATCCCCCTCCATACCTCTCAGAATTGAAGGGAGAAGTACTGGTCCATCTGTTGTCATGTCTCCTTCAATCGCGTCCTTGCACACCTTACCATACTTCCACTAAGCCCATCTTCTCTGGCCTAAGCAGTTTCTCATGTGGGACTAAACACTAAACGCTCTACTGAAATATCTGATAGTTAGGATCCTTTACAAAATTTGTGCACATGCATACATATCTGGCAAGATTTGTGCCCTTCATCCCAAAACACTTCTTAAACACAGGCACAGCACTTGCTTCGCTTGAGTGGTACCATCCAGAAGTAGACAGGATTGTTGAAAGTGCCCTCCCTGGACCTGCTGTGCCATGTGCCCATTCTTCCCTAATTCTGGGATGGAAATTAATGCAGTCAAATAGTGAAGAAGTGATAAGCTCAGAAGTTTGCTTCTACCTATATTGTGGTAATTTCCATAACCTCATTCCCACTGCCAATTACATCTCTGGCCCCCCTTGGTCACCTTTTTCTCTACAGAAAAGACTAATTTATTCAACATTATGGTCATGCCTTGATTATCTCTTACTTCCAGCCTTGATTCTTCTTTTCCTGTTCTATCTGCATGGCTGAAGACTCCATTTTTTTTTTTTTATTAACTTATACAGGATCTAACTCAGTTTCACTTTTGGCAAGTAATGTTATCCCATCCCAGTACATTTTGACTACTTCACAGAGTTCTCTGCTGATTAGGCAAGGCTCAAAATTTAAGTCCACAAGCTCCTCAAGCCACCTGACTTCACCAGTTACCTTCTTTAGATACCCAACTTTCCCCTTTCAATATAAATAATCTTTTTCTTCTGTCCTTTCATTTAACTCTACCAACTCACTATCAACCCAGGGTTATTTTCCTGGAGCTCTCATGTATAATGTATACTGTTTCCCCAAGCCAAGTCAGAAACACTTTTACTTGTTTCTTGGTTTACTTACCATTTTGCTAAGACATTCAGCCAGCCATGGCATTCAACACTAACCAAGCCCCAAGAATATCTTTACACAGGCAACTAACCTTTGGCAGTCACATCATCTCTACCATATCCAAATCCAGTTTGAATCTAGGTCAGACTCATCACTAGACCAGCAGCATCTTCTATAAAGTGATTTTGGCCCAAGATGGTCTTACCCTTGTTACCTTTTAATTTCCTTATGGTTGGCAGGTAACATTAGCATACATCCATGTCACCTTGATTGCTATCTAATCTGGGCAACATACGCTCCCTTCAGTACTTGTGCCCCAGTCATTACCCTTCCATTATGTTTCTGTTATCCCTTTAACTATATGGGTTTCACAACCTGCACCAGTCATTCAAGTTCCTCCATTTTGCTGCCCAAGCTCCTTGTATGAGGTATAAATATTGAATTGGTTTCTTATTGACCACACCCATTTCCCTGGCCAGGTCAGGTACACTCCAGTCATCTATGGTTTTGCCCACATCATAACCATTTCTGCTGGCTGCCTATGCTGCTGCCTTCTGACATTCTTTTATCTAACGTACCCGATTTTCCTCTTCCTCTGTACTAAAACCAGGGAGCAAATTAAACTAGGAATTGAAAACAGAAGTTGGGACAGATTTGTTTCAAGCTCTAGTAGCAGAGGGAAGTTTCTTAATAGATGCTCTGCTGAATATGACTCTCATATCACAGCTTCTCTTATACAAGCCATGGGTTTGTTAAGTATGGCACAGCTGTATACAACTCTCCAAAAAAAACAAAAAAACCTGTTACTAAAATACAGGTCACCAGCTTGGTATGACTCTTGATCAAGATGGGGGGAAAAAAATGCATGCTCTTCACTGCAAGATGTGGCAAGAGAGACAGGAGCAGTGCTAATGACATGCATCTGGATACACAAGAGCTGGCAAATAAATATGTGGGAGCTAAAAAACTCAATACCTTCCCCATTTAACAGAGTATTTTTCACAACTGTTTTCTAATCCAGGATCAGAGTTTTTAAGTACTTCGTTTCCCAAATTTTGAGATGCCCCATAAGAGACAGGAGTTACTTGCTGCAGCTCAGATTTTTGCAGCGTCCCTCTGTCAGAAAAGGTACAGTTTCTTTTAACCCATATTCATTCAGCCACACTTTGAAATGGTAACACTTGCAGCACTGGTATTTTTACCTATGGTTGTATCACGTTGGGCACAGAGCTCCAATTTAAAAATTCATATATGTACATATATACACACACATATTACACACACATGCATATTTAGTGTTATCGCAGTTTAAATGCCTACACAGAACAGCATGAGCACAGAGATGCGTTAGTTCTCAAGCCTTCAGTGGTCCTTTCACCAAGCAACTTAGTTTGCGTCCCAGAGATTTATGCCTATTATAGAACCCATTTACAGGTAACCCCCCCCCATAAGAGACATCTGCACACTCAGTATATTTTTTGAGAGCGTTAACATGCGTGCCGCAGCATCCTGGGGAATCCCTTGGGGCTGGACCATCTCAATGGGGGCAGGTGACAGGACAAGGATCAATGGGCTCAAGTTGCAGCCAGGGAAGTCGACGCTGGATATCAGGAAAAACTCCTCTCGCTAGGAGAGCAGTGGAACAGGTGACCCAGGGAGGTGCTGGAGACTCCATCCTCGGAGGGTTCAAGACGCGGGTAGGCGAGGCTTTGCCCGGGATGCTGTAGCTGGGGCGGCGGCTGGGCTGAAGCAGCGCTTCTCCACATGTCCGGCCCAGGACCCGTTTACAAACATCCCGGGAGCAGAGAGCAGCCCCTCGGCCCCGCCGCTGCCCCCATCTCCTCCCTCTGCCAAGGCTGGTCCGCGTTTACCACGCGCGAGGCCCGTCCGCCCACGGCCGGGCCGGGCCGGACCCTCCGAGCCCTGTAGCCCGCGGCTGTCCACACGGCCCCTCACTGCCGAGCCTGCAAAGCCCTGGAGGGGGGGCCGTGCAGTGCGGTGCGGTGCGGTGCGGTGCAGCAGAGGCCTAGGCGGGGGGGCGCTGCAGCAGCGGGCAGGGCGGACGCCGCAGGGCCCGGCGGTACCTGTGCGTGGGGGGGCAGTGCGACGCGGCTCCGGCTCCGGCTCCGGCTCCGGCTCGGGCGGGGGGCGGCGG